GCATTTCTTAATTTCTCTATTACTCTTAATTATCATTAACTAATAACTCTCCGAGGGACGGTGCTGTGGGTTAAACCACAGACTTGCCGATCAGAAGGTCGGCGGTTCGAATCCCCACAACAAGGTGAGCTCCCGTTGCTCGGTCCCTGCTCCTGCCAACCTAGCAGTTCGAAAGCACGTCAAAGAGAAGGAAGATAGATAAATAGGTACCGCTCCGGTGAGAAGGTAAATAGCATTTCCGTGCAATGCTCTGGTTCGCCAGAAGTGGCTTAGTCATGCTAGCCACATGACCCGGAAGCTGTACGCCGGCTCCCTCAGCCAGTAAAGCAAGATGAGTGCCGCAACCCCAGAGTAATCCGTGACTGGACCTAATGGTCAGGGGTCCCTTTACCTTCACCTTTAATAACTCTCCTCATAGTCTTTCTTGCAATATTTCAAATAGTCCTCCTTACAAAACTTCTTGCAGTCCTACTAGCGTAATTTGTTCATTACAATTACTTTTCAAATAGTTCGTATATTTCCTCCGACTTGCCCATATTTCCAGGACGCTGATGGCATGCCTGCTATTTTCACCCTGCTTTCTGATTTTCAGTGTCTTTCCTTTCCCCTCCCAGAAGGCTGAGGAAGTATGGGATGCCAGCGCTCTCTCCCTGGCATTCTGGGATAACTGGAGCATAGGATTGCTCTGCCCCTTATTGATTCCCAAGCCAACTTGCTTGATGATATAAATCAAGCCACCCCCACCTTGACCCTGTGTTGTAAAATATTGAATCGGTTCCCCCATGATGCACTAGATAAAATTAGATCGTTGATGTCATTGAAGCTCACCCTGCTCAGCCCAGCCGGGATGTTGCTCTGTGATTTACGTTAATCATTTTCATGGAGTCAGTCCAGCCCTTTCGAAATAATGACAGCCTTGCAAGTGCTTAAGGAAAGCATGTCAGGGAGACTATTGTGAGTGATGTGCTAAGGATAAAGCACCAGACAAACCTCTTCTCGTCTTTGCTGGTGAATGCAAACCTCCCCCCAAATACCCATCCAAATGAAGAGAATAATCATGGAGCAGAACATAACAGTTACTGGTTTCTAAAGTGAGTGCTGCTGGTGCTCAGAATGACAGGGACATAGGAAGCCCCTTAGCACCACCAGAAAGGGCTGGGAGAGTCCAATTTTAAACCCTTGGGAGCTGCTGCCAGTTATTGCAGCAGAGACTTTGTGCTGGCCACTAGGCAATCGATTTGTTCACCTGACTTGCCTCACCCTCCAGCCCTAGGAGACTTCACAAGAGAGCTGTTTTCAGAGGAAGGACTGTGAAGGTTGAGAGGCTTTGTGCTGGCCATCAGGCAATGGCTTTTTTCCAACCCTAGAAGTCTTTCCCAAACCATGACTTTAAGAACAGCAGAAGCAGCTGGGAAGAGAGAACACGTGTTCAGGGAGACTTTAAGGGAATTCACACATTGCGTTCAACGGGTGTGTGAACTTATGTACACCAATAGCAGAAATGTATACTCATACAGTTATTATCTCATGTAACGAGTGTACGGTTTGTGCACAATAGCTGAGGTGTACACATCAACAAGTGTACACTCTTTCACACAAAGATATGAAGAGAATGATTGTACCTGCATTCAGTATAACACATGAACAAGCCATCTGTTTTAGCTGAAATAGGCTGAAATAGAGACAACCTATAATTCCACCCTGAAGAAATTCCAATAGTCTTATGAGAGGGTGTTTTTTGTTTTTTGTTTCCTCTTAAAGTTCATCAGATCTAGGGTGTCTTCTTTGCATCACTTAAAGTGGAGGATAACATAAGATATGGATTTGTATAAAATGTGCACCTGCTAATTTATATGTCTAGATTCAGATTTTGAATCTGTGGACCATCTCCTGTTTGCTAACTCTGAGAACATTTGCTCATCTTATTGTCAAGCTTGTAGCTTCCTTTTAAATTCCTAGGATGTTTCACCTGAGAAGAAACCTTCAAATTTGCTTCACGTTTGACTTTTGGTGAAATCTGGTGGCAGCAGAAGTTATTCTTATTTTGGATGCCCTTGAAATCCCCATAATGTTTTAACAAAATTAAAATATCCAAAATAGTTCCATTTTCAGTTTATGCAACGTTTTTGGTGAGTATACTTGAGTATATAATGAAGCCCAATACACCCCCCGGGCAAAAAAAATCCTGCGTGGCTGCAATTGTAAAACTCTTACAATAAAGGTCAATCTGACTAGTCAGGTTGTTCATCTTATTTTCCCCACAGGAAATTCTCAAAGCAAACCGCCCCCCCCTCCCACACACATAAAAGGTCTGAAAATACAGACAGGGAAATTTCGTAAATAGATCTTTTCATTTTAGAGGCTATGATTGAGAGATACACCCCAGAGTTTCTTGGAACAACAATGAAGATACTTCAAGTGAACGGAAAGTTTCTCCAGGGAGGCTTTAAAATTGACTCCTTTAAAGTGAGTATTGATTCTTTTAAAGCCGTGATGTAGTAAACTACCATAATGGATTTGAAGGACCAGCAAAATACCAGAGAAATAAAGGTCAAAGGCTGAAATCCTAACCTTGATTACATAGGATTGTAGCTAAAATGTGTTAATTCTCCCCACCCTTCCATAAATAAACCTTCTTGGATCGCCAGGATGATGTGATTAAGGCCCAGAACAAATTTGGTACAGCAGATCCGTGATTGGGCTCTCAACCCCTTTTAACTCAAAAGCAGCTGCAATGAGTTCCAATTTTGAACAGAGCATTGTTGCTTCAGAAGGTGGTGCTTAGCTTCTCCCCTGCCTGACCTTGTTTTTCCAACCCAGATTTCTTACTGAAACTGCTATTAGCCCAGTGGTTTTTTGGGGGGAGGGGCAGAAGGGGTAGGAATAATAGATACTTGTATTATCATGCCGGTTCCCCACCCCAGCAGAGCTAATAGCAGCTCTGGGTGGGTGGGGTATTTAAAGTAGGAAAATGACACATGGGAAAGTGATTAACCACCTATTCTGTCCCCAGCACTGCTATGCTAATCAACATCGAAACTATCACTTTTTCTTTTAAAAAACCACACCCGTGTCTCAGACATAAGACACCATGGGAAATCAGATGTCCCTATGGCACCTGCAATTTTCCCGTGGCAACTGAGATCTTTGTATGGATCCTCGGTGATGACATTTTGCTTCTGTCAGTCAAGTAATCGGAAAGAAGGCTGGGAGAAACTTTTCTCTGACTCAGATTGGAAGGCAAAATACTGAGATTTATAGGAAACTATGAAGTTCTTCTGGCACTAGTAGTGCCCAGGTCATCTAGTACAACTCTACTCTTGGTACCTTTGCTTTCTGAATATAGGATTTTTTTTCCTGGCATGGTGCCCACATTGTGGATTTTCCTCCATAGTGGGCACATTCTCTTTTTGCTTCCATTAAACTGACATGCTGTCAGGCTTCGGGGAATCGAATCCCTCCCCCTGTGGCAGTAATTAAGTCAATCAAATGAAAAGAGCATTCTTACCAGATAGTTTCTTTAATAATCACAGTGAGAGACAAAGGGATGCATATCTCTCTAAAAACGATGTTGCTCCCAGTAAAGGTTCACCCCCTTTGTCCCCATTACTCAACATCACTCCTACGTCTGGTAATCTGAGCTTGTTGTCTTTGCGTTTTCTGTTCCATCACTCTCGGAGCCCATCGAGTCCTAGGTGAAGGGGGGGGTCAAGAATGCAGTCCAAGGACACTGAATCTGCCAGCTGTCTCTCCCCTGGTGTTTTCCTCTTCTAGCTGTTCCTCACCCAGTATTTCCCAGCTTTCCCCCCTCCGGACTATGCCCCTCTGCAAACCACTGACCTAACAAGCCACTCTGGGAACGTATTAGTGCCAAGTGTGGCTCAATGAGAACTTACCACCACCCCCTCAAGAGTTCAGACAGCTGCAGAAAATTATAATTCTATCCTAATGAACCTGAAGCATATTCTTTATATTCACTCCACTTGCTGTATCTTTTCAGCCTGAACATTGCTCAACGGTCCTTTTTACCCAAACTAAGCCTTATGTTTCACTTCCACTATGTGGCGAAGAGACAGATAGCAGAAGCAGCTATAAATTCAAAAGATGGCAGATCTTTGAAGGCCACAGTCTTTTACCTAGGTGTGCTGGTCCCGGGGGGGGGTTACCGTGAGGTGTGGTCAGAGTCCGGTCCTGGGTCGAGGGTCTGGAGACCGTCTACCAAGGGCGAAGCGGGGTCCAAAGCAAGAAGCCGGGCGTGGTCGGGAACTCCGGAAAAACAGGTCTGGGTGCTGGCAGAAACAGGTTTCCAACGACGTTGCTTCCGCAACCTGGGACTGCGCTGACTGGCCTTTATCTCCTCTGGGGCCTAGGGCGGTCCTGGCCCACAGGTGACTCACCTCTCCTGGCCTTAAGGCGAGCACTCCTCCTCAGAGAACTTAGTTCCCTCCGCCTCTCTGCCCTGAGCCTCTGCAGCTCAGGAGAGGCTGGAGGGTTACTGGACCCAGGGGGAGGCTCACCTTCCCCTGACAGGGCTGGGAGAGGAGCACCTGCAGGCAATGGGTCCTCAATCACCCCCGGAGCCAGAGTGGATTCATCTGGTGTCTGCTCCTGAGGATCCGGCACAGGTGCGGGCCCTTCAGATTCAAGGCCCTGTCCTGGCTCAGCCGGCCCTGGAAGCGGGGACTCCTGTGCAGGCTGGGGTTCCTCCGGTTCAGCCTCTGAATCAGATTCCCAGGCCATCACACTAGGAGTATGTCCCACCGAATTCTGTGTGCTTGACTTCTAAGCAGAAATGCACAGAGTTTCACGGTACAATATGTTCTGAGCACATATCAGTGGAGTCTGCTTGCAAATGCACTGATCCAAGGCAGCTTCACATTTCCTAATATGGTTGCTGCAACGAGTAATTCATAGAACCAAAGAATCATAGAATCATAAAACTGTAGAGTTGGAAAGGACCACAAGGGTCTTCTAGTTCAACCCCCTGCAATGCAGGAATCTTTTGCACAATGTGAGGCTTGAACCCACAACCCTGAGATCAAGAGCCTCATGCTCTACCAAACTGAGCTATCCCCGATGATCCATTGCTTCGATTTATTATTATGTTAATCCTCCACTTCTACCCCCACTACAATCCTGTGAGACACATTAGGCCAGGCATCCCCAAACTCGGCCCTCCATATGTTTTGGGACTACAGTTCCCATCATCCCTGGCCACTGGTCCTGTTAGCTAGGGATGATGGGAGTTGTAGTCCCAAAACATCTGGAGGGCCGAGTTTGGGGATGCCTGCATTAGGCTTTGAGATGGCAACTGGTCCACCCCCTTTTCCTTCCTCCTCCTTCCTTTGGACCTTTTGCTTGTCCAAAACTACCTTCCATTCTAGTTCCAAGAGACAACCTTCCTTTCCTCTTCTAATGCATGGCAGAAACTCCCCCTGCCCCGGACCAACACAAACCTACTTTCATGTATTTCATTTTTTCCCCAGTTAACAAAGCATCCACTCCCTTCTTGCTACTCTCCTTAGCCAGCCACTAATCTCTGCCCTCACTTTTGCCTTCTTCTAAGCATCCGTTACACTAATTGCATGGCTTCCAGCCATGTCAGGGGATTTTAGAGGATTTAATTCTAGGGGTGTGCATGTGGGGCATTGACCGCTGTGGCTGAATTCACTCATTAAATCTGGGATAGTACATGATGAGTGCAGTGCAGAATGCCTAAAGGAGTCCCTATAGTTCAAAGGGGTGGGGAAGCGCTGTGTGAGGGGTTCTCTGTCTGCTCCAAACCAGTATGATTAAAAATAATGGGCTGGCAGAGATGGAGAAAAAGACCCCCTGAGAAATGTGTTGCTGTGGAGAAGAGGATGTAGGCCATTGGGATCAAATTAAAGAAAGGGGATGGTAATCAAAATTTGGAAGAACATCTGGGTGGTGTGAGATGTTTGACAGTGGAACAGACCAGAGGGGAGTTTGGGGGAGTGTGACCAGTTTGCTCACATTGGCCGTTGAGCTGAGAGGGTGCTGCAGGGGGTGCCACAACTATGATGTAAAATGGAAGGCGAAAGGTGGGGTGGGGGCACCGATTTTTGGTTTTGCATACGATGCTGCTGAAATTTAAAAGCCCAAAGTCCACCACCAAACAGATTGTCTTGAAAGGTGGTTGGATGGACTCATTAGAATTTGTTTAGCAAAGGATGGGCGGTCACCCATCTGGGATGCTAGAACAGCAGATTGCTATATCATATTTTACAGCCTTTTTAAACAAACAATTCCATTTCTTTTAGGTAAGTCCAAAAAGGTAAAGGTAAAGGACCCCTGACAGTTAAGTCCAGTCACAAACGACTCTGGGGTTGCAGTGCTCATGTCGCTTTACTGGCCGAGGGAGCCGATGTTTGTCCGTGGACAGTTTTTCCGGGTCATGTGGCCAGCATGACTGAGCCGCTTCTGGCGAAACCAGATCAGCACACAGAAATGCTGTTTACCTTCCCGCCAGAGTCGTACCTATTTATCTACTTGCACTTTGACGTGCTTTTGGACTGCTAAGTTGGCAGGAGCTGGGACTGAGCAATGGGAGCTCACCCCATCACAGGGATTTGAACCACCAACCTTCCGATTGGCAAGCCCTAGGCTCAGTGGTTTAGACCACAGCGCCACCCGTGTCCCTTAGGTAAATCTACAGTTGTTTAAATTGCAGTACACACACACACACTTCAAGTTTTAAAACAAAACACTTCTGGGACTTATCTAGGACATCAGGTAATCTGAGCCAACGTGCAGAGGATTTTATGCATGCATACCCTGTTCAGACATTACAACTCTGCATGGACATCAGGTGGCAAAATACATTAGGCAGTGTTTTGTGAGGGACGGTATCAGAAAAAGGAAACATACCTGTTTCAAAGGGTGTGATGGACTTCATGTGAAATTGGAGGAGGTGAGCACTTATCCATTCTTCCGCCCACCATTTTCCCCAACATGCATGTCCATCTGGGGAAAGTTTAAGCACGCGCACCATTTGCTATGACCTTTGTGCAAATTATTCATAAAAACCTTGACATCTTTGAAGCATAGAAGGGGCAGCCTGTTTTTCCAGTTCCTTTCTTGCCACCAGATCAGAGGTGTCATCAGGGCAGGGGTTGTGGGGGGGCAGAAATATGGGGGGCTACTCCGCGGAATGAGGGTCCTCCCCAAAATGCAGTGCTGATGGTCTGCCGTACTTTAAAATAGATTTACTATCTATACATTCCCATCTCAAGAGTCCCCTTTGCAAGACTAGGAAGTCCAGAGGTTATAACTGACCACTGGATCAAACATCTGGTTTCAGCAATAAATATGCATTTTGGTGGCTACAGATGAGTGGGTTTAAATATGGAATTTGAAGGTTAATTTAGACAAACAAACCAAAGCTTCCTTCTAAGCTATTTATGGTTAAATTTCACTAAATCTCTTGGGGAGGTGGGGGTTATGAATTAAAATATATACATACATAACAATTTTTACCCATTTCTGTTGACAATTTGTGTTTTTGAAGAGAGAGAATTGTGATTGATCTGTTTATAAATCCTGTTGGTTCTGCTCTGTTGTCCTAATACCGATCTAATAAATTAGCTGATGGCTAAATTAAAAATAAAACTATAAATCATTCTGGCAATTAGCACAAGCTGCTTAATGTGTGACCTGTGTTACAGTTTCCTTGCCAAATATGCATTGTAACTGTTACTTTCATTTATGAAAAAATGCCGTGGAATGAGCTGCTTTAGCAGTATTTTATTGTTTCCAAAAAGGAAAGCTTAAAGGTGTGTTTTACAATGAAATTGCAGCCTGGATCAAGAATTTATTTTGATATTTCATTCATTTTTTAATTTCATTTAATAAAATGTATATTATTAATAACATAAATATTATATTTATTAAATCTCTATACCACCCTTCATCCATAGATCACAGGGCAGTTTAAAATATAAAAACACAGAGTTATACTCTCCCCACAACAATTTAAAAGGCCGTAGATTTAAATGATAAAGCATTACATTTTAAGGTGTACATTGAAGATGTATTGTATCTGAATGCATGAAGTGCGGTTGCAGCAAATTCACATTTGCAAAATTCGTAGAAGTGCATTGAACACAAAATTGAATTTGGTATGGTCAACACACCAGTCAAATCTATAGTCGGTAGCAAATGTGGGTTTACAACCATCTACTGTTGGGGTTGTTTTTATTTATTTATTTAATGTTGAGGGTCGTATTCAGATGCTACCTGTAAGGGCCCACATACTGGCCACCGACATGGCAAAAGCCAGCAGGAATGTTTTCTCTCTGGACTCATCTACAGTATACATTTAAAGCGGCATCATACTACTTGAAGCAGTCATGTCTTCGCCCCAAGAACAGGTTAAGAACAGTTTCAGGTTAAGAACGGACCTCCGGAACGAATTAAGTACTTAACCCGAGGTACCACTATGCTATAATATTATTATATATCATACTGCAAGGTCTTGAGATACACTACCATATCCACCATCCCTCTTCCTGGATCTTGTCCCCAAAGACAAGACCAACACAAAGCTAGAGACATACTTATATGGGGGACACCTGATTGCAGAGGCTCCCTAGGTATTCCAAATGGGATGGTGCAAATCTTCTGTAGTGTCTGCCTTTTCCCCCTGGGTAACTTCATCACATTGTGAACTTAGCATTTCCCAGAGCCTTCTCTCTTTAAGGCTCCGTCTCCATGCACGCCCCCAGTTACCATAACAACCTAATGCAGCACATTTCCACTCCTTGATCTCAATTATAGTGTCTTTTCAAATCTGATTACCCAGTTTAACTAATAAACTGCTACATCCAAGCTGCTGGCTACTTTTATGTCTGCAGTTTTATTCAGTTTGATGGTAGAAGGCCGTCCTTTCATGTCCTCCTGAGCAAATTGTAGGTGATGCTCAAAGGGGGCAATTCAAATTAAATTTCCATGCTGGCACACACACACACTGGCAACCTAGAGCATGAACTAGCTTGCTGAAAATCAGAACTGAAAACAAGCCACGTATACCAGCTTATTTCACATATTGGCTCCTGCGTTGTCGGTTGGATTTTAACTATTAACTTAAAGGTCTGGACCATATTGGCAAATTAACTGGTTTAATAAAAGGGTTTTGTACAGCTCCCTTCACTTCTCTCAATTCTGTATTTCCATTTCTATTTCTTGTTCTGCTGCACCTTTTGGGGGGTATTGGTCTGTGTGGAACAATCCCACTTCTGACACCATGTGTTGACTGCTGAAACTTGTCTAATGATTGAGGCTCCACACAGGTGATGGCTGCAGGAGTTGCAGGAAGGAGGCATACGAGGCGCCATCCAACTATCTTAGGGGCTGCCCTCTGGATTTGTGTAGGGTTTACTCCTTGGCCTTTTTTTCTTAAAAGATGATGTGCCGGAAGGCAGCGGGGTTTACTCCTGAATATACTTTCTCTTGAATAAGCATGGCCACAAGGGAGTGGAGATTTAGGATCAGAGTTTTCCTTCATCTAGATGGGTCACCTTCCCAGGTTGGTGAGCCTCATCTGCCCCACATTTCCCTCAACAGAACATGCAGAAACTGCCTTCTTGACTACTTAAAGGTAAAGGGACCCCGACTGTTAAGTCCAGTCACAGACGACTCCGGGGTTGCGACGCTCATCTCGCTTTACTGGCCAAGGGAGCCGGCATTTGTCCGCAGACAGCTTTCTGGGTCATGTGGCCAGCATGACCAAGCTGCTTCTGGCGAACCAGAGCAGCACACAGAAACACCGTTTACCTTCCCGCTGGAGTGGTACCTATTTATCTACTTGCACTTCGTGCTTTCAAACTGCTAGGTTGGCAGGAGCTGGGACCGAGCAACAGGAGCTCACCCTGTCGCAGGGATTTGAACTGCCTACCTTTTGATCAGCAAGCCCTAGGCTCTGTGGTTTAGACCACAGTGCCACCTGCGTACCTCTTGACTACTTACACTAAAGATAATTAAAAACTTGGTTTGCTCGTCCCAGCTGTACTGTGGCTGCTTCTTGGCCTCTGAGGGTACTGCAATGTCTCCATCCACATT